GTGGGTGTGGGTGGGTGTGGGGTGTGGGTGTGGGTGGGTGTGGGGTGTGGGTGGGTGTAGGGTGTGGGTGTGGATGGGTGTAACTGTGGGGTTTGTTTCAATGTAGACTTACACCTACACCCACACCCACACCCACACCCACATCCTAGTTAGTAGTCTTTCTCATCATAGTCTATTCTAATACCAAAATGAATAGCATATTCGGAATTAGTGCGAAAAACTATGTCGACTAGTATATATGGTGCACTTGAATTTGGAATCTAGTTGAGATTGGAATCACTTAGCTCACTTTGTTTGTTTAAAAACTTTTCTAACACATATTCAAGAAAATGTGTTTGTTTCTTCTCAAATTTATATTTATTATTACTTCTCAGACAATAAAAAGTGTCTTTGTACTGTTATTTTGTTGGTGAAAAGCCATTAGTCATTGTATTTATCGTTCTTTTGTAAAAGTAAATCTTACTCATCATTTTCCTTATAGTGTAGTTTCTATATCGGTGCTTGCGACATGGAGATATTGAACGATTGGTTGCAACGAAATCGAGAGTATTTGAGCCATTTGTTTTTATAAAATAGGTTTTTCTTCAATGCTCGTGATATGGTGAGATCGAATGATTGGTTAAATGTTTAATGTTAGAAAATCCATTGTTAAAAACTTGAAATTAAATGATTTATGCTGTTTAGAATAGCAGCCGATCTGTCTTTCGATTGATTGAGTAATAATTGGACTATAGATGTATTGTTGATTATCTATTCGATAGACTTATTGTGAGAAAGTTTATTAATGTACGATTGCAGTTTAGAATTGGGAATGCTCATTTTTTACAAGAGATTCACATAAAAAAAAAATTTATATAATTTATGTAATTAAAAAGAAACAGATAGAGAATGTGTTTCTTGATTGAATGTTCCATACCAGCAAACATCAATCGATTAATTATAAGATGAATAAAATTCATAAAATTCTCATAGTCTCTAAATAAGAATGGTAAAAAATGAAAATTTTCTATATGTAAATATTTTAAAACAATTCAAAATAGATCATAGAAGCTCGACCAATCATTTAGAATAGCTAAAATTACAAAAGTTGAACACAATTAGTAAACAAACATTAATTATTGTGTGATTCATACTATTAACATGCATTTCAAACTCTATTCAATCCCCATGTCAACTGTGACATATATCTTGGAAAAACTTTTTTCATGAAGAATCAACTTCCGTGAACCATGTACAAAATTTTGGAAAAAATCCGCTGAGCACGACCACAGGTGAACTTTGTAATGGAATGAAAATTTGGCTAAGCTACATATTATTCGACATAGTTTTTTTGCGTTGATTCCAAACATACTATTTGTTCTGCTCTCAGATTAGGCTGTGACGATAAAAGCTACCAAACATGGACACTGTTTTTTAGTTTTAAATGCTTTTGCTATGAACATTGAGGAAAGTTCAATTTTCTCAAAAATGACACTAAATTTAAAAACACATAAATAGGTACTCTCGAAACTAAGACTTCAGCTATTGTAAATCAGATAAAACCTTTATTGCAGTATCCTCTCATAAACAACTATAGAGATGTCTATAAACATATGCTTTCAGATATGCTCTCAAGTTGTCTCTATTCGACAAGATATTTTTATTTGAATAACTTTACATTCAATTACATAACATCTTTTTACTCAGTTTTTCATGCTGATGATGAATCTCAAGTCATATTCTTTATTCAGATGAACATAGGATATGTAATATCGAGTGATGTCACAATCCCATTACACCCGGTATCCAGATTTGACGAGCACAAAACGAAATCGGGTATTCACATTCAGCGTAACAACTTCAATCTCAAGGGTATTACCTTCGACTAGAGCACCTGTGTGTGAGTGTGGGTGTGTGGATGTGAGTATGTGTATTGCCTTCAACTATACGCACACCCACACCAATATGCACACCTACACTCACGCCCACCCACACCCTTCAAAAGGTAAGTTTCTCAGAGATCATAAAAAACCGCACATTTTAACGCGTAAAAACACGTTTTTTTTAAACGATTTTGTCTGACTGGGTAGGCGAAACGTTACAATAAAAAAAGCCTGACCTTTTAAAAATTTTGTTCTTCATTCAATTTTTGATACGACTGTTTTTGGACACGAAATAACATTGGAAAAATGTGAATACATAAAATCGGAGAAAACAGTTCAATAGCTTTCTCCAAACTTGAATTTTCGCCGAATTTAGAGACAATCATCTAATATATTTATCCAAAATCAAAGAAAATTACTTAATGAGTTCCCCACCCAAACAATCATTCTATGGGTACTTCGAGATGTCGATCTGAACCATCCAATGGGTTGGTAAAATTAAAAACTGTTCACCCATCGTCGTTCCTACGATCTATCGAAAAATGGCACTCCGATCTGGGTGTGGGTGTGGGTGCTGTTCTTACTCTTTTAAACATCCACACCCTCAAGTGAGTCGTACCGACGAACATTACTTGTTCGATAACCTTGAAATTTTTGAAGATACTCACCAGAGAGATTTGGACTTTTTTCTCCAAAGAAAATTTCAGAAGTGACTGAAGAAATCTATCCTCCACAGGAGACTACTTCATTTCTATCTGTGACTTCTCCTTTTTTTTGTTACGTAAATCGAAAGATCCTCACGCACCAAAGTAAAAAAGACTTACTTAACAAAGAACAAGAAAAATTGCATGGGACTAAATTGAAAAAAAGCCAAAAGAACCGTATTTATGATTGAAACACATGACTTTATAGAGAAGAGGAATACAAATCAGGAAAAAATGAAAGAGTTTAAGTGAAACAGAAAGAGAAGATGAAATGAATAGACCATCTACTTGAAAATACGAAAGACAGCTCCCATTGAAAATAGCATCTCTTCTTTGGACTTGAATGCACTTTTATTGATAAGCTTCACATATGGTGTTGTACGTATGTTAGTATTGATCCTCATTTCAAATACAATCAGAACTTCCTCAGGATCCTTAGTTGTACCATCATCTGAGAATATAATAGCAACGTGTTCATCCATTTGTTCATCTTCATCATCTTGCTCTGAAGATCATACGTCAGAAAATTTGCATTCAAAGTCTTGTAAAAATTAGAGCTGAGACAGTTAAATCAGAAACACTATCTGTCCAAGCTAGTTTGGCTTGTTCGGGTTTGGTGAAGCGATAACTACCGTAACTTTTATATCTTCAATAATTGAATGAGTTCCTTAGTCGCTGAAGTGGGAAATAATAATTCTTTATTTTTTTTTTAATATTAAATAGATACCATAGTGTCGATCAAACGTTGATTACATTCAACAAACATTTTTGTTGATTCGCTGCTGGTGTTTGGTAGAGTCTATCGAATAATTTCAAATCACATGAAAACAATCGATGAAAAAGTTCAAAACAAAAAGCCGGATAAGTAAATATTCATCAATGATGCGATATCGCTTTCATGATCGCAATGAAAACAAAAAGTTTCATTTCTGAAATAAACAACGAATAAAATCCCAAGTAGAATAACCTGTTAAACCAACTGCAAATTCCATTGTTTTCTTCAAAGCCAAATCTTCATTGATTCTTGGTATTGTCATGAAAATGAGGTCATGCAGGCTTCAATAAAAACGATTTTTTTTTCTTTTTCTTCCTAATATTTCTTCACTACTGCACAAAGAGAAGAACGCAAACATGTCGATAGGTGAGATTTTATTCTCTTTGATTCATTTTTTTGAGAGAAAATGTTGAATCCCTCGATAAATATTTCAAAGATATGATATCAGCATGTGAACTGTTAAAATCCTACATAAACAATCTTTGCAAATGACTTCAGCGTCATATGTTTGACATTTCCAGATAAACGAATGCGACGTCTACATAGAGTGGGTTTTTTCCAAGTAATCATTAATGACGTCATCCTTTTCTTTTTCTTCCTGAGTCATGTGCTATTGACGCTTCATATTCTACCCTTCTTTGATGTAGAAGGTTGTTTTTTTCTCGAATAGATGAAAATTTCCATACTCAATCACTTTTTATACTCAGTCTGGCTCTTATTTGACTGAAACCCAATAACATAACATCAATGTTGAGCTGAACAAAGTCAATAATTGATTTCAATTCACAAGATATATTTGTTAAACTATTCTTCGTGATCAATGATTGCATCTATCAAGAATGTTTCAAATCATCGAAAAGATTCTGCTCAGACTTAATTATGTCTGATTATTGATGATTATTTCATGTTGAATAGTTGGGCATGTGATCGTGTGATTATCCTCTCTAAGAATAAGTTTATTAATTATCATTTGCTGTGATGAAGTTCAATCATCATATCGTCAAGTAAATGGATTAATTGATTTCTATTTCAGATTATTATCAATTTATTAGACATGGCTTTTCTCAAACGTCTCCGTCTCCATTATCTTGAACTGAAAAAAGATCTTCCTCCATTATGTCATGCAGAACCTGAAGATCCTGAGAAGGATCTCACTCATTGGATTGGTTATATTGATGGACCCGAACACACACCATTTGCTGGTGGAAGATTTCATCTTATCATTGATTTTCCAGCCGATTTTCCATTCACAGCACCAGATATTCGTTTTACTACGCCAATTTATCATCCAAATATTAGTACAAAAGGTGAAATATGTTTAGATATTTTGCATTCTCAATGGTCTCCGGCATTAAGTATTCGTGCCCTCTTAGTATCATTATGTTCACTGCTATCAGATCCTAATCTTACACATGGATTGAATAAAGACGCATTAAAACTCTATCAGACAGATCAGAGAAAATATGAGGAAATAATAAGAGAATGGACAAGAGAGTATGCTGGTGATCGATCAAGTCTCAAGTGATCAAGATTTTCTACAATACCAATACGATTTTAGCGAACAATTTTTTATATGAACTAGTTTTTCGATTATCGATATGATCACTCATGTCTTCTTGAAAAAAAAAAGTATATATTTAATTAGTTTTTTCTTTCTATATAGTTGTCATCATATTTCAAAGAAGGAAAAGTTTTCTTCATAGTAATTACCAAGAATTGTTTGTTTTTCTTAATGTACTCTATATTGATAAAGTGTCTATTCAATTCTGGCAGAAAGAAATGAGCGGAAGGACGGATCCGATAGATGAAGCAATGCTGCTCAATATGAGCAGATTTGTACATTTTGTTCACGGTTGATGAAATTAATGCTGGGTAATTCGACATGAACTCAATCACGCCATACCGAAGTGGTGACCAATTTTGATGAAACTTTCAGGATTTGTGGGGTGGGTTGAGGGTGGAGAGAACTAACAGACCCATACCCACACCGACATCCACTGACACCCTTCCCCTCAAATATGTAATAAATAATAAATGTATGTTATAGACAAAATTAGAGTCGGATCAAATTTCGAATTGGTCCAGACACAATTGGAAAAAGTTGCTAAATTGGATCTATCAAAATTAGAATCGACATATGCATACATATGTATTCTAATTTTGATCAGACAAAAGCAGGATTTATCTGATCAAATTTGTAATTCAATTTTTGTTTGGCCAAATTTAGAATATAACTGAACAAAATCAGAAATAAAAATAGAATAAGTTTATCGTTAAAATTATTGATAGAAAATAATTGATTTTTAAAATATTTAAAATAATTTTCACTAATTAGAATCAATATTATATTATATGATTGATCGCAGTATTGCTGAGTTATTAGTTAATAATAAGAAAATTTTTTAAAACTTTTTTGAAATACTTAGATGTTGCTTGATTCTGCTATATTAACCATAGATAAATACTGGAAACAATAAGAAAATAATTTATTATTGATCTTTTTTCTCTTGAATTAGTTGGCTGTGTCGATATCATATTGTAAAGTGACCATCGTTGATATTGATTTGATAATTCTTTAAATTTATTTATTTTTTCTTGATCATTACACAAACTTTTATTACAAACAAATTGAAAACTATATCGGTCCATGTATTCAGGTGGATACCTTTCTATAATATCCGTATGAAACGATGCATTTTGACAGTCATTATCGTAGTGAGGGTCAGAACATCTTTGAGTTACTGCATAATAAGATAGATTGTTGGAAATTAGTAACCCACCCACACATCCACCATATTTACACGCGAGTATTCTATTTGTTGTATACGAGTAACATTCAATTGTTTGAGCAGATGTTGAATTAGAATTTTTATCGAATAATAGTTCTTGTATTTCATTGAATATTGACTCTTTTCTCATGTATAATCGAACTTTTGATTCATAAAATTTACGAGTACAATCATCTGATGTTGTACAACGGTAGTTTGCACGGATTGATTTCGTATTCTTCTAAAAGTCAAAAAATAGTTGTAGATAAGAAGCATATGTTGGGGGGGGGGGGGGAATAATGTTTAATATGACCATATTCAAGCACAATTTGCCTTTTAATGAAATCTATGCGCCAAGTAGTGCGACATTCATCATCATATGTTAATTTTTCTTCACATTCAGAAGGATATGCTGTTACATTTTCCAATGGAAGAAAACAACGTTGCATCTGTGTAAATTATTGATGATAACCAATAGTAATATCAGTAACAATAATCAAGACAAGAAGAAAATCTATTTTCATAAATATCATCGTTTCAATGAAACAATAATAATAAAATAACGTTTACGCGGCACAAACGAGATAAAAAAATGAATTCCTTCTGTTGTTGACAATATAACGATAAGAAACATATTACATAGATAACATAGAAGTAACTAATAAATAAAATGTTATCGACCTACCTTCATAAAATGTTGCCATTTATTTACTATAAATGCGTTTAACGTATCAAAGTTGATGACCCTGAACTCGCAACGACTTGAAAGACGGGATCAGGATTTAAATGGAGTAAGTATACGAATATCGTGAGAGTGAGTCAAAAAGCACATCGTTATCGCGATTTCAACCTTACTTAAAGGTCTCATTAGATCGCTTAATTGTATAAAGATTCTGTTCTGATGATTTGAAGATCACAGATAAGATATCTTCACTCAATGGATCTATACAATCTTGAAGTTGAAACTGAGGATGAGGCTGGGTGGATGAGTATAATGGTAAAGAATATACTACGACTATAGTTTCGGCCTTTCTCATTTGATTTGATCAGTTGGATATGAAGTATATTCTGTCTGTGGCATTATTTCCATCGAGAATGCTTTATTGTGTTGGTAACAAGTCGTGTTTTATTTTCTGTTGTACTGTTTTCAAGACAACATGTGCTATGCATCGTTTGCTTATCCTGAAATGTTTTGTTTTTGACTTCGGTTAGTTTTGGTTCCTATTGCCGAGATGGTCGATAGTTGCGTAACCACCGGAGTACACGAGGTGCAATGCTCCCCCCCCCTGTAAATGGTTTTGCCCCCTTGTAAATTTTTCATCGAAACACAATGGACTTTTCTATTTATCCACCGTAAGATGGTGTGTTTGTGGCCTTTGAGAAGATCTAACTTTACACGACACACGAAATAAGAACTTTGGTGGCAATCTTCATGAGCGTGACCGTCTTCGGCAGCAAAAATATCGGAAATAGAGATGTGCGGGACTAATTTTTGAGAGTTTATAGGACTGAAACCGGAATCTGCGTAAAAACTTTGGCCCTATCGAAATAGTTATTTTTTATGAAACATTAAATTTGATACTTCAGAAGTCTCAATTTTTCTTATGAATATTCGGACAGCAACTCCATCGTCTCTGCAAAATGGATATTTTTAATGTTTTCAAAATTTCCAAGAGTTTTAGATTAAAAAAAACTCATCTTTTTTGCGAGTTCTGAGCCGACAATTAATGAGTTTACACAATTCCAACTGTGATATGTTTGTAAATTGCTGGAAAGAGGATTTTTCCTGCCTGAAAAGTTTCATTTTTAATAATAGTCGCTAGCGTGTCCGCCTTCGGTCATAAAAGTTCTCAGACACTTGTGGATTTCACGAGACAATATTTTTCGTCTCAAAAAGATTATAAGAGAAAATAGAAATTCTGTCTTGAGCTTGCAAAAGATTTTCACTTCATGAGAAATTCTTCTGACCTTTTTACGATTTTATAAATTTTTCGAGCAAGAAAATTTTTCAATAAGAATAAGTTGGAAACAACAAGATTTTCAGACACTTTCGACTGCAAAAATTAGGATGTGGGTGACGAAAAAAGGAACACTCACATCCACACCCACACTCTAATAGTCAGAATATGGTTGTTTTCAATAACACCATTCTCTCTCCTCATCCTCTGAGTTGAAATGAAATTTATTATACCGCATGGGCATGCCGTGTTTATTTAAGAACTGAAAAATTGCAAGTACATGTCCAAAAAGGAAAAAAAAATTAATGGAGCACTATCTGACTCCAATAACTCTTGGATTCATTATCGAAATGATTAGACTGAAAGCTTCATAGAGGGAGGTGTCAAATTAACGAAATGCTTTTCAGGAAATGGCAAACAATGAAAAACATTTGAGCCAAACATAAATCAGCGAGACAGGGTGAGAAAGTGAAAAATGATGAGAACGATCTTGTTTTTCGTTGTCATGTACCTTCGCTGAAATGTCTTGTCGCTATTATAATTTTCGTAGTTTTTTTTCGGCCGAAAAACTCGTTTGTTCGTATGCTTTTCGCTTAACGGACACCATTCTCTTCACACCATTTATAAGAATGCTACCAACATGGGATATAAGAGATACATGTGTATTATTTCTGTTTTCCATCAATTTTCTAATGAATGCTAAAGGATTGGCATGAAAACGACATTGTTGAAGTTGTAAAATGTCGCGGTGATCTGGTTTTTTCACAAATCCATCAACAGTAATCCAACCTTTCTCAAAAGCTTCTTCTTCAATATCGGTACGAGGTTTGGGACATACACCTAGGCAATGGCAATAGGCTGTTTGTTCATCAGTAGTTTCAAAGTAGAGAGTACCGTTAAAAATAAATAATGCTACCAACCATTCAGTCGGAATTGGAAACAGAACAGTACCACAATCGGGTGCGATTGACGGAGGAATTGTTAAAGTGGGTGTGTTAGCTATAATTGATTGATCTGGCTTAGTCCGTGGCAACAGTAGGCGTAATGTTGTAGTGAATAATTCTCCAGGCGATTGCTTACGATAAAGATCGTGTAATCGACCCATTAGCCAATTGGCTTCAAAAGGACTTACAAAAATGATATGTTTATTGCGATAGATCAGAATCCATCGTGCAGGACGTAGAAAAGGATCTAATGATTCTCCATGTGTTTGAATCACACGTTTAAATTCATCAGTAATCCAAAGATTTTGTTGCCAACAATGTGGTTGACTTTCACGATAGAATGTAGTACCAAGAAAAGCATCAGCAATAGGACAAAATACTGAAGTTAATTTTGATAAATTCAACATAGGACCGTGCATGTCGCATAAAGCCTTGATCTCATCGTGTAAGTGAGGCTCATAGGGATGAACAGATGGTGGACGTTTCTGTTGTCGTTCTTCTTCTAATTCTTGTTCTCGCTCTAGTTCTCGTTGCTGCTCTTCATCTAATAATTGTGTAAGAAGTTTTTTTGAACCACCATAATCCCATAATCGTTTGGAAACAGCTTCATGAATTTCAACTGATGAACAAATATTGGAATGTTTGGATCGAACAGAATAAATGTCAAATATTGTTTGAAACATTTTCGATACGCCATACATAGATTTCAATTCTAAGACTTCGTCTTCCAAACATTCTCTGGCTATGTTTTCCATTGTTGTATTTGTATACAATGTTCCTTGTTCTTTCCAATTGATATTTCGAAAAGCAGTAATTTTCCGTTGAAAACTTAAACTTTGTGTTGCCCAAAGATGTAATCCATCCCATGTTGTCTGTTGAGTATTTTCATAAACCCAACGGAGAATATCAGTCAGAGTAATTCGATTATCGATGTTTTCCTTTTCATTTGGTGAAACTGAATTTTTCTTCATTGTTTGAATTTGTTGATGAACTTCGTTTGAACTCCAGAAACTTAACCAATGATGTTTGCCTAATTTTCTCATTCTCATACATGCTTGAACTAACCGATCCTTAGTGAGACCATTTCCTAAGGTGACAGCGGCTCTAAATTCATTTGGAAATTTAAAGTCTGTTCCTCTCGTATGAATTTCATCTAAATAAAACACACAACGATCGAGACGTTCACTAGCAGGTGATGTCAAAAAAGCATGATGTTGATATTGACGATCACAAACGAATATTGAATCCGATTCAAAATACAC